GCCAGGCTGCCCCAGCTCTATGGGGACCAGCGGCAAGGGGGCAGGGGGCTGACTAAGGGGCTAGCTGGGCATCCAGACAGAGGGTGACCCTGGCTCAGCCAGCTCAGGACTGCCCTTGCATGGGTCAGGGAGCGATGGGGTTTGGAAGGTGGGGATGGATGGGGGGGATCAGGGAGAGATGGGGGTAGGCAGGGGATGGCTTGGGGGGCTCCGGGAGTGATTGAGGTGAGGGCAGGCAGGGGATGGATGGGGGGGCTCAGGGAGCGATGGGGGTTTGGGGGCTGGAGGGCAGGAAGGGGATGGATGGAGGGGCTCAGGGAGTGATGGGGGTTGGACGGGGGGCAGGAAGGGGATGGATTGGGAGGCTCAGGGAGCGATGGGGGATGAATAGGGTAGGCAGGGGGTGGCTTGGGGTGCTCAGGGAGTGAGAGGTTGGGGACAGGCAGGTGATAGATGGGGGTCTCAGGGAGCTTTGGGGGTGGGAGCAAGCAGGGGATGGAAAGGGGCTCAAGGAGCAATGGGGGTTGGAAGGTGGGGGCAGGCAGGGGATGGCTGGAGGGGCTCAGGGAGCGATGGGGGTTGGAGGGGGGCAGGCAGGGGATGGAGGGGGGCTTGGGGGGGTGGAGGCAGGCAGGGGATGGATGGGGGGCTCAGGGAGCGATGGGGGGTGGAGGGGGGCAGGCAGGGGATGGATGGGGGGCTCAGGGAGCGATGCGGGTTTGGGGGATGAAGGGCAGGCAGAGGATGGATGGAGGGGCTCAGGGAGCGATGGGGGTTGGACGGAGGGCAGGCAGGGGATGGAGGGGGGGGTTGGACGGGGGCAGTCAGGACATGGCGGGGGCTCAGGGAGCGAGCGGGGAGTTGGGGGTTGTGACAGCTTTAGCTCGGTTTTGAATTCTGGGGGTTATTTTATAAGGGAAGTAGCCACCCAGCGTGTGCAGGCCAGCCTGGCGGAGGCAATGGGTGGCACCGGTAGGCGAACGGTTCGCGTCCCGCAGAGTCTCAGCACGTCCCTTGGAGGAGTGTGTGTTCTGGGCAGGGCGGTGGGCTGGTCGCCTTTGGCCACACTGCGCTGTCTTTACGGCAGAGAGGTACGCCTGGCACTTGATGGAGGGTTTGGGCTGGGCCCTAATTCCTGGGCCAGTTGCAGCCACAGCCTCGGGCTGGTCTCTGGGACACTCTGTCTCCCGCCTGGACAAGCTTGGTCCCTGTGGACAAGGTCCACGGTGCCGGGGGGGGGGCTGGTAATGGCATCCAGCCCTGCTTAGCTCTAGGGTGGGCAGTTTGAGGTCAGTGCAGGGCAGCCGTGACTAAAAGCCATAACCAGCTGCAGGCTGTCTGGGGCGCAGCGAGCACTGGTTCTTAGCCCCTATTTACTGCCGCCTCTGAGTGCATCCTGCCCTCTCATGTGTGTGGCCGCCCTGTCAGCTAGCGCAGTGCGATCCCCATTGGGCAGGCAGGGGGACACAGATTAAGTGACTTCCCCAAGCCCCTAGGGACAGTCTGTGACGGCGCCAGAAACTGACCCCAGCTTTGCTCCAGTCCCATTAGCTCCCTAACCCCTGGGCCAGGCCGGCTGGGCAGAGAGGCCAAGGTTCCCACGGGCGCTGAAGCCTGATCTAACCCTAGCAGTGAGCAGGGCTGCAGCACAAGGGTGGGGGAGCCTGCCTAGGCACTGCCCCTGCTGCGCAAAGGATGGGTGGCTCCCCAGGGCCATCAGACAGACACAACTTTTCCTTTAAACTAAAATGCCTCACGGGGATTTATTTTTACCCACATGCTGCACTGCACCCCGGCCATCCCGCCCCTGATGGGAAAGGGTCCCCTGGATGGCCGTGGGCTTTGGCCCGGTCCCGGTCCCTGTGCCCTGCATTCCCCTTCGAACAGCGAGGCATGCAACCCATCATTGGCACGGTGCCACCAGGCTGCAGTGGGCGGGCCCTTGGCAAAGCTCCCCAGGCCCCCTTTGTTATCATGACACAGTCACTAAGCAACGGCCGCAGGTTGCAGCCATGGCATCCAGGCCAAAGCGAGCCTCGAGCATGGAGTCCGAGCCGGAGGAGTTTGCTTTCAAGGCCAGGATCTCGGTGTATGGGCTGGCGCAGGAGCAGCAGAAGGCGATCCGAAAGGTTTGCATGTAGCCGGCAGGGGTGGAGGGGCGGGGGAATTCTTCACTGGGTCTGAGCCATCCCTGTCCCTCGGCTCAGCCCCGCTGCACCCCGCTGCTGGGCTCTTCGACGGGGGGAGGGGGACTTTTGCAGGACCTGCCTCTGCTTTAAAAACCATTCTGTGTGTGTGTGTGTGTGGCCAATGCCCGGCAGTGCAGCCACAGGTCCACAGCACGGGGGTGTAAACAGCCAGCTGGGCCTGTTTGGAGTGAAGTTCAGGTAAACGGGATGGTTCTGGCCTGCATGTAAGGCCAGCGCAGGCTGTGGTGGGACACGCACTCCCCCCAGAATCACTCTGATGGCGCCTCCTTGCACAGCAGCAGGTCAGGGTCCTAGGAAAGCAGGGAACCGCCCCCATGGGATGTGAAGGTCTCTGTAGCCTCCAAACTAAAAGGTCTGTGCTGGCCTCGTAGAGGGAGAAAAACCCGAGTGAGCAACAGGGACTGCAACACATGCTGAGAAATACCATGCAGGACACTCGCACCCCCCTGTATTGTAATGACACGAGTCCCCCAGCTGTTCCCAGGGCAGTGACCAAATGCTGCAGATCTGATCTCATGCCAAGGAGCGGACCAGCTGCCAGGCCCTGCACGCCTCAACGAGGCCATCAAAAGCTGGGCTGTTAATTCAGAACAGGATGTATTCAAGGAAAAGACATTTTATCCAATCACGTTACAATATGCAGATGAATGGCGGTGGGAGAAGGTAGGTGGTGATTGGCTGATGTGCCTCTGACATCACATTCCAGTGGGAAGGGGGCAGGCAAGGGAATGGGTGATTGGTCAACTCACCTCTGACATCATATTACAGTCCAATGGGGAGAGGGAAGGGTGATGATTGGTTGATTTACCTTGTGACGTCATCACCCCACCAACTGACAATAAGCTTTTCATAGGGTGGCAGCAAAGGGGCCAGAGACTGAGGGAAGGGTGAAAGCAACATGGGTCATGCCCAGCCAGGAGTACTGGCTGATCTAGGGGCAGTGCCCATGTGCTCTAAATGCGGGATCCAACCAGCCTCCAGTGGCTGAAAGAAGGCTGCTGGCGTGGAGAAAATAAATAAGGAAATGTTATTTACTCCTTCACATAACAAAAGAATCAGGATCATCTAATGACATTAATAGGCAGCAGGTTTAAAACAAACAAAAGGAAGTATTTCTTCATACAATGCAGTCACTCTGTGGAACTCACTGCTAGAGGATGTTGTGAAGGCCAAGATTATAACAGGGTTCAAAAAAGAACTAGATAAGTTCCTGGAGGATAAGTCCAGCAATAGCTATTAGCCAGGGTGGGCAGGGACCCAACCCCATGCTCTGGGTGTCTCTAAACCTCTGACTGCCAGAAGCTGGGACTGGACAACAGGGGATGGGTCACTTGATAATTGCCCTGTTCTGGTCATTACCTGTGAAGCATCTGGCCTTGGCTACTGTGCTAGGAATGCATCCCCCTTGGCAAGCAGCGGCTGCATTAACTTTCCTGCCTGCCCCTTCCTCCAGCACGGAGCCCCGTGGACCGGGTGCTGGGTCAGTGGTGTTGTGGTAAAATGACAGGCGGTTAAACTGCCCTCAGCAAAATTCCACATTCCCCAGCCGCGGAACAGGCAGACTCGGGTTACCCTGGCCTACTCCACTGTGCTGAGGCAGCTCACGGAAGGGAAGTCCCTGCCAATGCAGCCCTGGCCCAGGAGGCACCGTTGGGCCGCTGAAGCCGGCGCAGAGGCCCAAGAGCTCTGCTGAGCTGGATGCAGGGGAAGTGTGAGGGCTGATCCCTTGGCTTCTTTCCTGGCGGTGGAAGGGTCAGACTCCGCCCCGGAGTGAAGATTTTGGAGGAAGCCCCCCCAGAGCTCCCATCGTGGAGGAAACCCTTGGACGCCAAGGGCCTGGGGGCCAGGGCCAAGGGCTGCGGGGACAAAGTTTCTCCCCTTTAGGGACTGTGCTGCAGCCTGAGGGGCCCCAAGAGCTTCGCAGCAGAGGGAGTGAGATAGGCCAAGTTGCACAGCCTGTGGGGTCTGGAACACAACGCAGCGCCCGGTGCCTGGCATGCAGCCCCTTCTGAGCCAGATCCACGGAGGCCACGGTACAGCCCTGGCTCGGCAGGTCTGCACAACCACTTGGTGCACAGCAAGCTGGGGCGCAGACCTGCAGCCTGCCCGGGTGGGCCCAGCTGCCGCATGCTCAGCGCTCCCTGGCCCACTCTGATGTCCTGCGGTTTGACTCAGTGGGAGCTCCGCTGAATGCATCTGATGCAGTGAGCTGTAGCTCACGAAAGCTTATGTTCAAATAAATCGGTTAGTCTCTAAGGTGCCACAAGTCCTCCTTTTCTTTTTGCGAATACAGACTAACACGGCTGTTACTCTGAAACCTGGGAGCTCAATGTCATCCTGACCGACCCAGGTAGCCCTAATGTAGCCGAAAGGCAGGGACCCTTCCTTCCCCCTAACCCACCCCAACTCCCCTGCCCTTCGAACTCCTGAGCCGGCCACTTGAAAGGGAAATCTGCAAGCTGCGCTCAATGAGGAGCCAGCCCAAGCTCCTGTAACTCACCAGGGCTGCCCAGGCTGCGGGGTCTGCCACTGCCCAGCCCCCCAGCCTTCACCTGCAAATTAAAGCATGGTGCTCAAGAGGCAGCGATAAAAACACCTGCTAGGGAACAGAGCTAGGTGTGGCCATACCCCCTGCACCTTACCCGGCAGGCAGCTCAGCTAAGAGCCCCAGCTGTCACAAAGCCCTTGGCGTCCCAGAACCTTTCAAAGGATCTCTACATGCCACGTGTTGCCTGAGCAACCGCGGCTCCCTGCCAGCTAATGCCCACAGAAAATGCCAGCAAACAATGCAGACAAAAGGGATAAACGTAAGGGCCCGGGCTCTGCTGCTAAGACACCGAAAACCTTTTGTCAACTCGCAGCTGCTGCCTAGCCAAAGTCTTGCCTTGCTCCCAGCCAGTGTGACTGGGACTCCAGGCTGTGGTACTTGGTCAGCGCCTGCGTCTCTCTGCACTGTGACCTCCAGGCAGCAGGAGCTGGTTTCGAAGAGGCCAAGCAGCAATTCTGGATGAGCCTTGAGGGCCGTTAGTGCTTTCTCTGTGCAGCCAGAGGACGGGAGCGAGGGGGGGGCATGGCTGGTCGGGAGAAAGCGGGGCAGACGAAACGGAAGGAGTCGCCACAGGAGAGGGTCCGGACAAATCTCCTTCAGCACGTGCTCAGCAGGCGGGCCCCCCATGCCAAGGAGGATACGGTCAGTGTCTCCTGCTCTCCGCTCCCCCTGGAGCACATGGGGTGGGGACAGACTGGGATACAGGCAGAGCTAGGTCGGCAGCCAGGCCACACAGCTGTGGGGAGGGTGGCGCAATGTGGTCTCAGTAAACTCCCCACATCAGGGCTTCAATCTTCCTTTTACCGGCACAGGCTGCAGATCCTAGAGCGTTTCAGCCTATTCACAGGGGCATGGTTGGAGTCCATCGGCCCTGCTCCTTTCGCCAGGCTGTAACTGGGTGAGGAGAGGCCCATGCTGTGGTAACCCACACACCTTCTGGGTGTGGGGTTCTGTCCCATCTAGTGGCACGGAGACCACTTGGAGAGAGGGACAAAATGAGTCTGCTCTACAGCCTTAGCTAACAGGCAGTTGGCTTTTAGCTCCTAGGGTTGAGGCTCATGCACTAAGCTCCATAGGCCCCCAGTTCGAGCCCGCCCGCCGACGACCAGGGGTCTGTCATTGTTACGCTGTCACCGAGCCCCTGACTTGGGCAACTTTGCTATGTCACTAGGGCTTTGGAGTTTTTCCACTCAGTCATGCCCAGATCCACAAGGGTGTTTAGGCTCCTACCGTCCATTGATTTCAGCTGGAGGATCTGTGTCTAGAAACTCCGAATCCTCCAAACCCTGCAGCTCCTGTCAGCTCTTGTTCCTAAAGCCTGTAACTAACTGCACAGACCAGCTTCTGACACTCTTCCTCATGCTCTGTAGTAGCATCAAAGTCAATGAGCTACTCGGGGAGTAAGGGGCAGAGGAGTAACAGCAGAACCTGGCCTCTACAAATAGCAGGTTATTTCTGGCTACATGAGGGCTGCCTGGATAGTACCTCTGGCAGTTTTTCTGACTGGCATCCAAACAAGCCTCTTTCAGATCCCCTTTCCCAGTTCATGCTGTGTTTCTGTCACCTCCCAAAGGGTGCAGAAAATGTTTGGTAGCTCAGGGAAGCTTCAGTTTTACAGGCCTTTAAATAGGCAGAGAAATCACAATCCCCTTGTGGGTTAGCCCTGGCCATTTTCAAGGGCGAGATGGCAAATCAAATCACCATCAACCATTCCAAAAGGGACTGTTTTCATTTCCCCAATGCAAAGCAACTGCGCAGTGTGGTCCGGGTACAACAAGGGGTGCACAGGAAAAGCAAGCGTGGACAGGAAATCCGTTAGTCCAGCATCACTAACTGCGTGCTACGTCTTATCAAGGCAACAATCCAGCACAGCATGTGTGAGATCAGCTCTCTTGGGAAGAAAATCACTAGCTAAGGGCTGCTGTTGGACTGGGACATAGGATATCTGGATTCAGCTCCTGGCTCTGCCGTTGACTCCCTGGGTGAGCCTTTGGCACATTAGTTAGGTTGAGATTTTCAGAGCTGACTGGGGAACAGACACCTCTGGGGTCACCTCCCGTTCAGTGGCTCAGTCCCTGAGTCATTGCTGAGCACCTCAACCTTATGGCTCTGGGGAACTGAAGCACATCTGTAGAACAGGAATAACGCCACTTCCTGGGTCCCCTTGTGTGGTTAGACTGTAAACTCGCTGGGGCAGGGGGAGTCTCTCACTTTGGGTATATTCAGCGCCTAGCACTAGGGGACTCCACCCTTGGTCAGGGGTCTCTAAGCACCACTGTAATGCAAAGAGCACTATTCTCACTCATCTCACAGCATCTCTGTTTCAATTCAGCCATTCCAAAAAGGAATCAACTGAAATTTACCTTTTCCATAATTTTCAGTGTACACAAGTCAACCCCCTTCACCACCAAGTCACCTTCCCCCGATGGGGGAACTTTAATGTTCTGAGACAGGTGCGTCTAGCCACGAGCTTCCCCAGGCTCTGAATGCGCCCTGGGATCTTTCCATTTCTGCCTGTCTCCTTTCCCAGGAGAAGGTGCTTGCCAGAAATGTCAGCAGAAGCCCTCAGGGGTGGTTTTGTTGCAAACTCTCCGCTCTTTCCAGACACAGGAGGAATGGCCAGTTTTGTCAGATGCTGCTGAGTGCCCCTCAACTCGCACCAGGAGCCTGGACCCGAGGATCCTCATGGATTAGTTATAGAACAAATCAAACTCAATGATCCTAGCTCAGGAGTGGGCAAACTTTTTGGTCTGAGGGCCACATCTGGGTGGGGAAATTGTATGCAGAGGGTTGGGGTGCGGGAGGGAGCGCGGTGTGCAGGAATGGGCTCAGGGCAAGGGATTGGGGCAGAGGAGGGGTGCAGGGTGTATGAGGCGGCTCAGGGCAGGGGTGCAGGAGAGGTGCAGACTGTGGGAGGGAGCTCAGGGCAGGGGGTTGGGGTGCAGGAGGGGTGCTGGGTGCAACAGAGGGCTCAGGGCAGGGAGTTGGGGGTGCAGGGTGCAGCAGGGGGCTCAGAGCAGGGAGTTGCGGGGCAGAGTGCTAGAAAGGTTCAGGGTGCAGACTCCGGCCCGGCGCCACCTACCTAAAGTGGCTCCGGGGTGGCAGTAGCGCGCACCGGGGCCAGGGCAGGCTCCCTCCATGCCTGCCCTGGCCCCATGCCGCACCGCTCCGGGAAGCAGCCAGTACTATGTCCCTGCACGGCCCCTGGGGGAGGGGGGGAACAGGGCTCACCCTTGCCACTCCTCCAGGTACCTCCCCCGAAGCTCCCATTGGCCACGGTTCCCCGTTTCTGGCCAATGGGAGCTGCGGGGGGGCGGTGCCTGGAGGCAAGGGCAACACATGGAGCCCTCTGCCCCCACCCCCCGGGCCCCAGGGATGTGGCGCCGGCCACTTCTGAGAGCAGCGCGGGGCCTGCAGCACCACGGGGGGGCAATCCTGCAGGCCGGATCCAAAGCCCTGAGGGGCCAGATCCGGCCTGTGGGCCGTAGTTTGACCACCCCTGTCCTAGCTGTCCATCCAGATGCACATAGACAAAGGCGTGGTTCAGAGCACAGCACCTCTGTTCTCTGCTGGGGAAATTCACACTGGTGCAGCACTGCCCGCCCTTTGCTCAGGGTCCTCCTGCACGAGTTGAGTGCTGGGGAAAGGCGCTGGCCCACTTGATCCCCATGAGATGGAAATCTCACAGGAGAGGAACAGGGCAACCTACCTTCCCACAGTGCCAGCGGCCCCCGACCCGCATACTCCAGCCAGGAACCCAGCGGGGCACCGCTTCCTGGGATGAAAGGTGTGTGCTGATCCTCCAGCCCGCCTGGTGAGATGCCAGGGAGGGGGACGCATTTGTTGTCTGGACACATTCCAAGCTATCGTAGGAGTTCCCACATGGTTTCCATGGGGATGCTGCCCTGGGAGCCCAATGCTTTGGACGGTTGCAGAGGAGCTGGCCTGGGTCCTATGAAACCGACCAAGTAGTCCCTCCTCGTCTTAGGGGAGAGGCCCATTTGGGAGGTAGGCCGGGCATTGGAAGGAGCGGGGGTCAATTCATTTGTAAGTACGGTGACCAGATGTTCCAATTTTGGGGGCTGTTTCTTATATAGGCACCTATTTCCCCCCCACCCCCATCCCCATTTTTTACACTTGCTATCTAGTCACCCTATTTGTAAATGTCTTCCCCGCGACACTGCAAACCAATCCAGGGCCACGCGCTCATCTGACCATCCTGTCCCATTGCACTGGTTGGGTGTGTATCTGGGTGCACGTGTCCCAGAGAAGAGGAGCACAGAGTGGGCAGCCTTAGGATCAGAAGGGACGTCTTAGCTCCCTGAGTCCATCCCCTGCTACTACACGTCCCCAGGCGCAAGCTCCCATGCCATTTACAACACGTGTGCCAGTAGAACAGGCACCCGTGGCTCTAAAACACCAGCCTAGGATGGCTCGTTGTAACATTAAGAATCAAGAGGGTGGGCGGCACAAAGTCCAGCCGCCACCGAACTCAGCACCAGAGCCCTCCTTTACACCATCTCAGTGCCTCGTGCGGATAGCCCTCCCCTTCCCCCTGGTGCTGGCAGCAACCTCCCTTCACAGGGCCTGAACTATGGCTGGCCTCTCTCTTCCCTTCCAGAAATTGCTTCTGCACAGACTGGTATTTCTGGCTAAGATCTCCCCGGAGCTGGCCGACAAACAGGATTTAGCAGGTAAGCATCTCACCCTGTTTCTTCAGTAGCCACATCTGTGGAGGGCAGAGGGTCCTGAAATGGAACAAGGGCCATGCACACACTAGCGCCTGGCCACGCACTGCGTTGCAGTGTCTGGCCAGCGCCGCCTAAGACCAAACGGCTACGCGACACGCTGTGTTTGAGACACTGTCGTATGGACCTCTCCAGAACACTGCTCACTTTCTCCATGGGGTTGGGAAGCTGTGCTGGAGAAGGGAGGACACGGCTCCCTACCCACCCTTCTGTGTATGACCCTGCGCTCCCAGCACAGCCATGGTGGAATGACAGCGATGAGGGTTCTCCATGTGCAGAGTTACCTGCTGGGTTGCTGTTGCTGGGATGGGATCTCCCAGAGCAGCAGGTGTCAGAGTTAGCACCCCATTGAGATGCATGGGACACTCGTAGCATCTCAGGCTCAGGCTGCTGTCATCCATAATCAGGTCACATTTGTGGGCTAGAAAAATGATTATTTCTCTTTTAAAGGCCAGGTTGGAGTCTACTGTCAGTCCATGGGGACGGGGGGAGGGCCCTGGGCTCAGGGCCATCATGCTCCTGCCTCACTGTGGCCCTGCCAGAGGGCAGTGTGCATTGAGAGCCCAGGCTGGGCGCTCAGGTACCCAGGGAAGGATGGCTTGAGCCACACTGCAGACATGGCTGCTGTTGTGCAAGCTGGTGGGGCTCTGGCCCCCGTCGCTGGGAGATCCGATTCCAGGCCCCCAGTGTGGGGAGGGCGATATGCAGCCTCCCAGGAGAACACGGAGATGTCAACATGCATGATCCTGGTTTGCAACCAGCCCCAGGCCGCTCAGGAGTTCCCATTCTGACTGCTGGAGGCTGCTATGCCAGGGGTGCTCTGAGCGGGGCGGGGCCCTGGGGCTGTGCCGCACAGGGGTCCCTTCCCCTTTACAGTGCACTGGGCGGGGGGCAAGGGCACGAGGGATCCTGCAGCCTGGAGAAGGAGGCAGCTGCAGGAGCCCGGGGCTGGCCGCACTAGCCTGGGGGTGGGGGGCATCAGCCAGCAAACGCTGTGTGCGCTCTGGATTCTCCTTAGGGTACTGGCACCTCCTCTTCCTGAGTCTGCAGCGCTACTACCAGGGCGAGGGGGTCACGGGCCTCCTGCTGCTCTACCCCACCTACCTGGTGCACACCCTAGAGGTACGGGGAACGGAGGGCGTGGGGCCAGTCAGCCTGCGACTGCATGGGAACGTCAAAGAAAGGGATCGGAAACCGGGAGAGCGCCCAAGGGGTTGCGAGACGGCTTGGGATTGCCCTTCACAGGCTGCACCGAGCTCTGCTCCCCAGCCCCGTTCCTTCCCCCCCTCCCCCCATGTCACCCTACGTGAAACACCCAGCACCCCGTCTCCCCCTCCCTCCCTCCCAAGCAGTCACCCTGCAATCAGCCTGGCTGAGGCGGAGTGTAGCAACAGGACAGAGAATAGCTGTGGAGGGTGGGAAGCAAGAGCTAGAACCCCCCAAACTTCACTGGAAAACCACTGCTCTTGTCCCCGCTCCAGACCCCCATCTTCCCCCGCCCCAGGATCAAAGGGCCCATCCCCCACCCCGGCCTCGCCCCTCATCCCCTCTAGTCCCCTAATCAAAGGACCCATTCCCCATCCCAGGCCTCACCCCCAACACCAGAATCTAAGGGTCTATCTCCCTCTGCAACCCAACAATGTGAGGGCCCATCCCCCAGCCTTGCCCCCTAACCCCACAATCGAAGGTCCTCAAACCTAGCTCACCACCCCACATGTAAGAACAGCAGGGCTGACTCCCCCAGGCCAGAATTTGAGCGCCCCATGCCCACCTCCCCTTTTAGCAGCTCACTGTGCTGCCTTGCCCTGAATTCCTCCTGCCCCCAAGCCTGGCAGCTGCAGCTGGCATGTTCTGGCCGAGCTGGGCTAGCAGCGTGGGCAGATTCAATTGTGCCCTCTCACACTTGCACCAGTCAGGTCCACACATCCTTGCCAGCGTGCTCGGATGCTCCATCCCATCACCCGGGGTGCAGCCCTGGGCGTCTGTCAAGACGTGACCAGGGGGTTTGCACAGCTAACGAGGTTGCTCTTCTTTCAGGCCTCCAGCGAGGTGCTTTACTCCGTCCTGAGGGACCTGCGAGACATGCAGCCCCAGAAGCACAGGTGAGGGCTGGCCAGCCAGTAGCTGGAGGGTTTTCAGCTGCCACAGTTCAGCGTCTTTCACCAAACCCCAGAGTGCACATGACCGAGGACGGTGGCGGCTGGGCTGTGTGCGGGGATCGAACCTGCGATTGGCTGGGAGGCAGCAGCCGACTAATCCAATAGAACAAGAGCCAGAGGCTGGAAATTGAAGCTAGGCAAATTCAGACTGAGAATAAGGAATCCGTTTTTAACAGGGAGAGTAATTAATCCCTGGGACAATTTACCAAGGGCCGTGGTGGATTCTCCCTCACTGGCAAGTTTTCAGATCAAGAGTGGATGTTTTCCTGTAAGATCTGCTCTAGGAATTTGAGCGAGGCGGGAGGGCGTTTCTCTGGCCTGTGTTATACAGGAGGTTAGGCTAGATCATCACCATGGTCCCATTTGGCCTGGGAATCTATGAATCTCTGCACATCTTTACCAGGTACAACCAGGAGAGGGAGCTGCAGCCACAGCTCTGTGGACTCGGTGCACCCCGGTGGGAAGCATGGCTCCGGGCAGAGGCTACCAGCGTCCAGCTGAGGGGAAGATGGGAGTGCCACGGCTCAGATGCTGGCTGGCGCCCTCGATAGGGGAAAGGGGAAATTGGAGGGTCAGTGTCAACCTGCCGCCAGGTTAATTAGCGTATTGAGCTCTCTGGCTCCCCCTGCAGATGAAAAGGGGTAACAGAGGTGTTCCTATCTGCCGCCAGGAGTTTGCTTTAGAGCTGGGTGGAAAATGGTTTTGTAGCTGTGGAAAATTTAGACAAAAAGTTAAAAAACAAAAAGGCAACTTTTTGTTGAAACAACATCATCTTTGGGTGAAAGCCAGGCACAGTCTAAATGGAGGGGAACAGACGTACTGGTGTGAGCACCTTCTTACCAGCCTAGCTGTGTCCACACCAGGGGGTGGCACTGTTTTAGCAATGCTAGGCTAGCGTGGCACCATCTTTGCACGTAACAAGGCCTCAGTAGGCAGGTAGCGACCCTCCTGTTAACCCCAGGGGGTGACAGACCCCTCTCTTGCTGTGAGAGGGAACTGATCCACTACCCTGTCCCGTCCCAGGGCCCTCATTCTGGAGCCCAAGATCCTGGTGCTGTCCCACAACATTCCTTCCCGGCTCTTCCAGCAGTGGAGCTACAAGGTGCTGGACGTGCCCAGCAGGCATCTGGGCTACAACACCTTGCGCGAGGAGCCAATTGAGACCATCATTGGCGAGTGCCTGGCAATGCTCCTGAAACTGGGGGTGCACCTGCTGAAATACCCCAAGGTAAGGGCCAGGAGGCACTGCTAGCGCCCCCTAATGCGGGTGGGCAGCTTGCCGGGGTCTGTTGCGCCCCATCTCTAGCCAAATCTTTGGGATGCCCCCACATACAGGGTGTTGCTGCCTTTGGAATTATAGGCCCTTGCTGACCTGTCCAGCCACCTTCAATTCCATCGTCTACAGCAGGAGTGGCCCGGCTCGCAGCAGGTGGGCATGCGTGGTGGGCATCGGAACGGTCAGTCGAGTTCTCCCGATGGCTGCAGGAGGTGTGATTTTCCTCTGGCATTGAGTGGCTGAGGGCTTTCTTTTCTCTTCTGATTTCCAGAGCTCCCCAAACCTCCCCGATGCCGTTCTGGAGAAGGTCCCCAACTTAATTATTTCCCAGGACACCATCTGCCACCTCCTGGAGTGCCGGGAGCTCCTGAGCCCTGCACAGTTCCTGCAGACCTACGATTCTCCCTTGAACGTCGTCATGGACTCAGGTATGTTCCTGCGTGCCGCGGGCTGCATGCACAGTGCAGGGATGCACATGACTTGTGTCCAGGGGCTCAAAGCTTGTTCACCGCCAGCAGCATTGTGACTGTGAACTGTCCCCTGGATGTAGGGAAATCAGAACCAGCCTCTGTGGGATGGAAACAGCCCTATGAGCTCAGTTCCAGAGTTTGTTCATCTCTGCCTCGGCACTTGGATGCAGCAGGGACTGGGGCTGCAGAAGGACGGTGACAGATTTCCAGTGCAAGGGGCAGAGAGCATTTCTTGCATTGCAGGTTTCATCGTGATCTTTCTCTCCCCCAAGTTGTCTAGTGACTTTTACAGAGCACTGGCCCGCTGGGCTTAGTGCCAAGCTGGGCTTAGTTCTGTTGCACACTCCTGGCCAGGTGACAGAGCAGGTTCCCTTCCTGGGCTGCAGGGTCCAAGCCATTGCAGGGCAGCGGGGGCTGAGGGCAGCACAGCTGGACTGGGACTTGCCGGGATCCCTCTCTGTCCCAGCTCTCAGCCTGGTGCAGGGACTGTAAGGCAGGAGCGTGCTGCTCCTCAGCTGGTTCGGTCCCTGGTGCGGGATAGCGCAGCGGCGAGGACTGCTCTACCTTGGGCCACTGCACTACCAGAGGGAGCTGGTCAAAGCTGCAAGTGGGAACTGGGCACTGAAATGCCCTTTGCCTTTGAGGCTCTGCCATGCCCATCCCCACCCAAGGAGATATTTGGGGCAGAGGAACAAGCTGGCCATGCCCCCTCCTGCCTTCACATGCCATGTGGGGCTGGGGGCTCTCATGGGCTATACTGGCTCAGCACACCCCCAACCCCCTTCTAAGCTAGAGGTATGCTGTGTGCTAGGGGAGCTTTGGGGATGCTTTGCAGGTACTTGCCATTGGCTCCAGAGTGGGCACAAGGCAAGCAGGAATTAGCCTCTTGGGTTCCAGGCCTGCTGAGATTGCACCTTCCACCGGTGCTAAATGGAGATTGCAAAACCCAGACCAAAACCCAAAGCCAGCTTAGAGCAGGTCCCCTGGCTCTGCCCTGGGCCCACATGGCTCCTTCCATGGGGGCTGCAGCATCTTAGCCAGTCTTCTCCAGGTTTTCCGCTCCACAGGGCAGGGTGAATTCCTTGGATGCCCCTGGAGAGCCCTTGCAGGTGCGAGCGCTGGCGAGCTTAGGGTCAGGCGCAGCTGTGCTCATCCTGGCTGGTGAGCGGCGGGCATTGCCGTGTGGTTATGGACGTGACACCACACGCTGCCTGGCTGCTCGCTGCCATAGTGCAAACCCAAAGCGCTGCACAAGCTGATGCGACGAGCCCAGGGATGGAGCTGGGATTTCTTCTGGGGATCAGCGGCATGGAGCTAGCTCATAAGCTGCTCAGGGTGGGAACTGTCTCTCTCACCATGTGTCTGTCCAGCACAGCGGGGTGAGGGGTGCGGGGCAACTCGCCTCATTGCATTTTGGACAGCAGCTCTCTGGCACCAGCTGTTGAGTCCCTCCCTCCAATGTGTTTCCTGATGCTTCCACGAGAGGGTGTCGTCTGCAAAGGTTTCAGTGGGAACTGGAGTGGGGACCCAGGGATGATCAGACCCTGCATGCAGACTCCGCTGCTTGATCCCGGAGAGAGCCTTTTCCAGAGGCAGCTGTTTGGGAGAACAGCAGCCAAGGGCATGCCTGAGCCCTGGGCTTTCCCCTGGGGAGTGCTGTGTGTACAGGCAGAGGGAGGGAACGGAGCTGAGATCTGCCAGGCAGAGCTGGTGACGAGGCCCAGGAAGGCCTCTCCCCGCCCCGGGCAGGAGTGTTATTATTTGTATTGCCCAAATGCCTCCGATTCCCAGTCATGGGCCAGGCCCTTCCAGCATTCTGTTGTCCAGTGCCAGGCCGGTATGGGCAATCCACCCCACCCAGGGGAGGCTGTTCCACAGGACTGTAATAGCTAGGAAACTTTCCCTGATGTTCAGCCTAAATCGGCCTTGCCTTAGATTCATTCCCCCCCAGACCCTTCCTCTGCTAAATAACGCCTCCCCCGCACTGCTGCAGCCCTCCTTTGGCCAGGGTGAGCCAAGCATGCCTGGAGGCTGGGGCAGTAACTTGGCCAGTGCCCTGGGGCACACAGTGAGAATACAGGTACATTGTCCCCTATGCAGAAATCCACAGAGGGAATGAGATTCTGACTGACTGGGGGACGGGTTTTGTACCTCCGGCGTAAGGGAGGAAAGGAGGGAGCTGTTGCATAATGGGCCCAGCTCTTCAGCGGGAGAGGGGCCCGCGCTCACTGTCACTGGGGCGTCTGGGCAGCTGGGTTGTGGCTGGTGCCATACTGTTAGGATCGAGGCCGCTGTGCAGTTTGGACTGGACCAGTCCCATCGGTTGGGGCATTGGGCCATATCCTGCTCACTTACAACTGGTGTAAATCAGGAGTCGTTCCTGTCATGTCAATGCTGTTCCTACATCATGCTCTGGAAGGCAGAGGAGAAGCTGGGCCCTTTCTTTCACAGATTCCACGGCCAGAAGGAACCAGAGTGATTCTCTAGTCTGACGGTCTGTGTAACGCAGGCCAGAGAACGCCCTGAATTAATTCCGGTTTGAACTAGAGCAGAGCTTTTAGAGACACAGTCAATCCTGATTTAAACATGTTCAGGGATGAAGAATCCACCGCACCCCGTGGTAAATTGTCCCAGTGGTTAATTACCCTCACTGGTAAAACTTTACACCTTATTTCCAGCCTGTATTTGTCTAGCTTCAACTTCCAGCAGTTGGATTGTGCCAGACCTTTCTCTGCTAGATTGAAGAGCCCAGTATTAAATACTTGCTATGCCTGCAGATATTTATAGACTGTGATCAAGTCACCCATTAACCTTCTCTCTGTTAAATTAAATAGATCCAGCTCCTTGGGTCTTTCACTATAAGGCAGGTTTTCTGATCCTTTAATCATTCTCGTGGCTCTTCTCTGAGCCCTCTCCAATTTAACAACATCCCTCTTGAATTATGGGCACCAGAACTGGACACAGGACTCCAGCTGTGGTTGCACCAGAGCTTATAGCTCAGACACAAACGTTCTGGTCCCAGGTTTGGGAGCAGCAGGGAAGGAGTAGGGGACTGATGGGAAATAAAGTGTTGTTCCGTCAAAGCTGAAGGGGCACTGCTGTGAGGAAGTTCACAGCTGTTCATGTTCCAAAAAAAGATGAGTTTTCTGCATCCATAACCAGTGTGTGATAGTCAAGGAGAAACCCGGAAGGGGTGGGCTTTAAGCAGAGTCCAAGCTGTGATTACATCTAGTTCCTTTTGCTTAAAGGGCACGTGTTTGGAAGTGAGAACCCGTATGCTGTGTAAGTTTCTTTGCAACCCAAAGGTACAGTAAGCTGTTCATTGGGACATGCATGTTGGGCTTTGCATGATGCTTTTCAGTGCATGCTCATGCAGGGTCACAGGCCGCCCTGCCCTGTAGATGTTGATAGAACCTCAGCTGAAATAAAACCCACCTTGCCTAACCAGCGCTGTAGAAACCCCTTCCCCTTTCAGTCATGCTAACAGCTCATTTCACCTGGCTGTGAGTTTCACATGTTCACAGTCCATTGCCTGCCCTGTCAATGTCTGTTTAAATGCTGGCTGCTTCCAGGTCTCTGCAGTGATCAAAGGTTCACAGGAATGTGCAGTCATGTGCCTCAAAGCAAAAACAATGTTTTTTCCTCTTGTATCAGCCGATGCCTGAAATGCTCCACTAACACAGCTCAGTGTCTGCAGCGCACTCTCCTGAGATGCGACAATTCTGTTTTACAGGTAGGCCCAGGAGGAGCCTGGTGTGATTTCGCGAGTTGCAAGCAGCTAATCTCAACAGCTCATTCCAAGTTTGTTCAATTACATTTTTTGCACCAGCAAGAAATGAAAAAGAAATCATGCACACCCCCATTGTTATTGATGCGGTTGGGAACGGCTGCAGAAGTTGGGAGTCTGGAATATAGTTATCGTTCCATAAGATGGTTATGTTTCATAAGAATATGGTTATGTTTCATAAGATCAGTTTCTTAAACATTTCAGTGCAAAACTCATGGGATAGTGAATTCTTCACACGAACTACTAACCCCTTGTTAGATTTCCGGGTTTTCAAATGAGCCCATGGGCCTGAGGCCCTGGCTCGCCATGGGAGGCGAGCACCTAACTCCATTAAGCTCGTTGGAGCAGAGAATTGTCTCTTACTGTGTGCGTCTGTAGCACCTAGCCCAACAGACAGTGCCTAGACTCTACCGCCATATAAACAAGAGAATCATGGCCTGGGGGCGAAGGAAGAAATCAGCAATTACCGACACTGAGCAGTGCACTCAACCCTTCTACGCCTATTTCCAGAGCATGTAACAAACACTAATCAATCCTCCCTATCACCCCCATTGTAGAAATGGGGAAACTGAGGCACACAGCAGGTAACTGACTTGCACAGGTCCCCCACAGAACCAGTGCCAAAGTTGCAGGAAAGAACCCAGGTCTCCTGAGCCCTGTCCTTGGCTCTAACAACCAGACTCTCCTGCCACCCATTAGCGAGGGGGCAGCTGCAACCCGCCATGGTTTATACAAATTAAGGGCCTGATCTAAAACTCACTGGAGTCAAGGGAGAGCCCAAAGTGCATCCTTGGGCCCTGTCCTGTCCCCATGGCTCCAGCAACCCGCAGCCTACCAGTGGCTTGGGAGGGGGTGTTTGCGTCCTCCTCCCTGAAGTCTGGCTCTGTTTCCCAGCCTCCTCTCTGTGCTCCCGTGCCCAGGACACTGCAAAGCTGTGTGTGTTTGCACTGACCACAGCAAGCAGGCAGGGCCAGCATGTCGCTCCTCAGCCAGGGAGGGGCAGAGCTGGATGGGGAGCAGTGGAACATACACGCTGCCCTTCAAAGCGAGCAGATTGCCCTAGAAATGCAGGGGAATGGCTGCAGCCATGACACTGCTCAGCCCCCTCCAGTGCAGTCAGCAGAGCCCTGCCCTGTGGGGAAAGCTCTGGTTCTGGTGTCTTGGGTTCATGGAGTCCAGTGAGCCCCCAAACCAAACCACCTGAGTCAGGAGACACCAACGGAGACCAGCCGAGAGGGCGTCTGTCCCCGAGCCATCCCCAGAGATGGGGGTGGGCGGTGGAGCTGCTGGCTCGGGCCTGGGGCAAGCTGCTGCAGTCTGGTGGGTGCGATGGGCCGGGGATCTCTGCCCCGTCCCTAGCGCATGAATAGCTCCAGTACATAGCAGTCTCAGCAGAGGCCAAGGGCCGACTGGGTCATGGAGCCTGAATCTCCCGCTTGTCCCTAGAGGCAGAGGCGGATTAAGATTTACTGGGGCACTGGGCACAAAGAACATTTGGGCCCCCCACACCTGGGGCCCCCCAAATTGGCCGGGGTCCCAGGGGCCCCTCCCTGGAGGCGATGCCTCCGAACCAGGAGTGAGACACAGGAGGCTATGGCACATGGGGAGATTTGCTCCTGGCCATGCTGCCTCCGTTGTGTGGGTGGCGTGGCCAGCCAGCCCCTTTAATGGAAACCAAGCAGAGCCTTCAATCCCCTCTCCTGTTCCTTACTAGGATTGCCTTGTTCCTAATCTCCCCGATGCCTGAGAGCCGCGGAGAATTGCCACCCAGTGAGGTCCTTCCGTGGCTCCCCTCATCTGGAGTCTGAGCCCCTCACAGGCACTAAGGAATGTGAGGGAGGGCAGGGCTATTCTCTCCCTGGTCGGACGGGCAGCCAAGGCACAGAGCAGGATTTCGGCACCACGGTCCCATTGATTTCAGTTAGAGATAGATGCCCAAGACCTTTGGGGATCCGCGCCTACGTGACTCACCCAGGGGTCTATGGCAGAGCCGGGGCTAGCTCTCCTCCACTCCTCTGCCCCTCGACCAGCCCTCCTTTTCCATGCACGAAAAACGAAGCCAGCAGCAGTTCCCCAGTCGGATCTCCAGCTTCTCGCTGGTGTTCTGATGGTCTCTTTCCCCTCTCCCCCTTTCCAGAGCGTGTGTGGCCACTGCCCGGGAAGGTGAAGCTGGACGCCATGAGCTCATGAATGGAAAGGAATCGGGGCCCATGGACGTGTGGGGCACAGCTGAGATGGGAGGGTTGTGAGCAGCAGCCCAGGCACTGCTGTGGCCCACAGCTAGTCATGCAGTGCTCAGGTGTGGCTGATCTCAGCCCGCAATCGTGGGAAACATCCAAGAGCAGCATGGGAGAGTGGCCGGAGGAGCCTGCCTATCACCAGTGGAATTACGGGCTCAGATGGACAAATGGGTTTAACTGTAATTATATGGGGATTAACTGGCCACTGATTATCTGTCTGTGATACAGGTACAGCACTCACTGAGCTCCGGTCCTACAGTGTGTGTTAGTGGGTGGGGGGGTGGGGGGGCTGTACCAGACTGCTATTTCAGGGTCTGATAGACTGGCTCCATCAGTGCGGCCTGGGAGATGCGCAGCCCGGCAGAGCTGGGACGGCCCTGCAGGTCCCAGCGCTCATCAGTTCATTTCATTTTGCTCCTGCTCTGGCAGCCATCAGCAATGGTCCGGGTTGTCCCCTTGTGGCAAGTGGCAGGAGCTGGAGGAACAGCTGTGTTGATGGTTCCTCTTTATGCAGGTGTGAGCAAGCCCTGGTCTCCTGGGCCTGTGGTGTAGCTTCCTGACAGCAAGAAGCCACCCCATGCATCCACGCAGCAGGGAGTCAGAGCCAGCAGACGTCCAGGAAGAACCCAGCTGGTGTGCACAGGATGCTGCATGGAGCAGAGCAATGTTATGCATGCAAACACAGGCCAATGTTCGCAGCAGTAGGTGCTAGGTCACTGCCATGCACGCTGTAAGGTACCTAATGCACATGGGCAGCACTGCCCCCGGCCAGATGGCATCGCTAGGATTCATATAGCACCACGGTTGTGTGTGACACTTTAGAGACAGGTAAGGAGACAGAGTCCTTGCTCCAAGCTTATTCACGCATCATACAGCACGGCAGTGATCAGAGAGCGGAAACCACGGGGACAGCACGACACCACTTCCAGGGGAGAGACGGCCCCAGGGGTTCACTGTGTCCTTGTCTTATCACTCTTTCCCATAGGTCAGAGTGGGAGCGGAGGGCAGAGGCAGGCTGGGGGAGGGAAAGGGTGGGTGGGTGAGTGATCTTTCCCAAGGGCTGGCCCTCCAAAGCCTGGGACTTCCCTTTTGCTTACCCAATGCTGATCAGGCGTTGGAGGGCCAGCCCTTGGGAAAGTGCACCCACCTGCACCGGAATGGCCCCCTTCAGGAGCTGGGAGCGTGGACACAGGGTAATGACCTTTGGGTCACTGGAGTCACATGCCCAAAAAGCATGGAACTGCTGCCTAGCTAGCTGGTGTTTGTACGTATCTCAGACAGAGAGCACCAGCAGGGCACAGAAGCGCGGCAGTCTCATGCGCTGGATGTGTGGACACATCTGCTCCACTGCAACCCTCAGGCAGAGGGTTGGGGGAAGTGCGGGGCTGCTTCCCATTCCAGAGGAGGATGCAGGGGCGAGGAGTCTCTACCCAGCCCTGATAGCTGGCTCGGAGGTCTGACGCACCCGCCACAAAGAGGCCACCGTCCACACCCTGCTTACAGGCACATTTCTTCCTGCTGCCGGTTTGTTTTGGTCTCCCTTGATGGTGTGTGACCCGCTGGGGAGAGTGGGCTGCAAACCTCACTCTGTGCCGACGCACAGGGATCACGGCCCCCCAGTGCCAGAGCCCTCTCTTTGTCCGCAGCCGCTCCCAGGCTTTTAGCTCTGTAGGTCCCCGGGACAAGCCCTGCATGGTGGCCAACCCCAGTACTCTGGCTGAAGCTCGCCTGGCACAGCGACAGCCGAGAGATGCCCGTGGGCTCGCCCTAGCTCCTGCCAATGCCTCTGGCTGGACGGGACCCTGCCAACGATTTGTGTAAAGCCCCAGTGACAACACCGAGAGCAGAGCCCCAGAGAGACGCAGCACCTTTCCCACGTTCACCCTCCGCCTCAGAGCAAAGCACCGTTTGCAGCTGACTGCTTCTCCATGGCCCGGGGAGCCAGGAGGCTGACTGGTTCCTAGGGAACAGCGCCCACACCACATCCCAAACCCCCTGCCCAAGGGGTACTCGGCCCCCCCGCTGGCAGGCTCGGCAGAGGGCAAGGAGCAAATGGGCCCTGCAGTGAGGGCAGCATGCACCGTGGGGTGGGGAGTCTGCCAGGTCCTGGGCTGGCACATGGCCTGGGCAGTTGTCCTGCTGCTCCCATAGTATCCGGGAGCTGGGATACGGCCTTCGCTCTGCAGGGCTGACAGTCCAGCACCCATGGTCCAGCCCCACAATGCTGAGGACACAGGAGGGTCTTGGGCTCCAGAGCTCTCCAGCCAATGGCACTTACAGGGGGTTCATTTATGTATGAGCAGTAGCTGCATATTCATCCCAGCCCCACTGCACATCCGCTGCGCAGCACGGCTTGGGACGGGGCCAGGGGGAACCACCCCGATGCGTTCTTCCCCTAGCACAGCCCTGAGCCCCTGCAGCACTCGCTACTGGGCTGCTGGCTGGGTCCGGTAAGGGTCTCAGCCTGAGCAAAAGCCCATTCGACTCCCAGCCTCTGATGACATGCAAGGGACTGACACCAGGCATGTGCCATGCTGACCGCCAGGGAGCAACGGCACCAGTCAGCTGAGCCTCAGGGCATGGATGCCAGGGGCAGCACAGGGGAGGTAAGCAACAGGGAGGGCTCAGAACAGCTGCAGCATGGCAAAGGGGCTGGAGCAGGCTGCAGAAAGAACAGACAGAGCAGATCCAAGATAGCATAAATCAGGGCAGCCTCAGCAGAGTTCGTGTGGGGGACGGATCCATGTCAAATCCTACCACACGGTGATCCGGGGCAGGGACTCTTTTTTCGGCTCATCTGTTTTGCAGGAAGGCAGCGTCCTCTCAAGATGCTCAGCACCATCAACTTCCAGCCAAATGTTCACCCATTTTTCTTTGCTGTACTGACAATGTTAGTTAGTCCTGGAAACGGAAAGAAAACTGCCCGCATGGCCCCTGTGGTTGGGGTGTCTTAGTCCTCAATTTGTTTATCCTCA